CTCACACACTGGCTCCCTCTCACTCACACTCTCACACTCACCCTCACACTCTCACACACTGGCTCCCTCTCACTCACCCTCACACTCTCACCTACTCACACTCGTGCTCACCCTCTCTCACACTCGCTCCTTCTCGCTCTCAGGTTTGTTCCTCTCAATGACACAGTAGTGGGCGCTGGGAACCTGCCCAACTTCGAGAACACGGGGCTGTTTGGGGTGACGGGGTACCAGTACCTCATCATGGCGATAGTGCTCTCCAAAGGACACCCCTTCAGGAAGCCCCTGTATACTAACGGTGAGACGTGCGGGCAGCCTGACCCCTTCATACACCAACATGTCGAAGCTCCTAACTCCCACTGACACAGTGACGCGCTGACACAGTGAATGCTCTGACACCCTGACATAGTGCTACACTGATGCTGTGACACAGTGACACTCAGGCACAGAGACACTGACACAGAGAAGAGACACTCTGACTCTCTGACTGACTTACTGAACACTGACTCACTCACAGGCTCGCTGTCTCACTCACAGACTCGCTGACTGACTCGCTGTCTCACTCAATGACTCGCTGACACACTGACTCACTCTCAGACTGGCTGACTGACTCGCTGTCTCACTCTCAGACTCGCTGTCTTACTCACAGACTCGCTGTCTCACTCTCGGACTCGCTGACTCGCTGTCTCACTCTCGGACTCGCTGACTCGCTGTCTCACTCACAGACTGGCTGACTCGCTGACTCACTGACTCACACAGACTCGCTGACGCGCAGGCTGTCTCTCTGCAGTGCTGTTCATGCTGGTGCTGGCGGTGCTGTGTGCCTTCATGAGCTGGCTTGTGCTCTACCCTCTGCACGGGCTGCGCCAGCTGCTCTCGCTGCAGCAGGTCGATGACATGAAGTACAAGCTCCTGCTGGTGGCGCTGTCCGCCCTCAACTTCTTCTGCGCCCTGATGCTGGAGGTGAGTGTCGGCCTCTGCGCCGCGGTCATTTAGATTCGAAGGGCGATGCGCTTCCGTGTGGGGAATCCTGGGAGGGATGTGTTATTTCGGGGAAGTGGTGTTGCAGGGATCCCCTCCTCCCTGCGGGGGCGCTGTGGAGGCTGCCTGGGCAGCCACCCTGCTGCAGGGGAGTCCTGCACGTCTGAGCCTGCCGCCGGGCTGGGGGCCAGGGCCTGGGGGCCAGGGCCTGGGGCCTGAGTGTGGCCCCCCAGACTGAGCGCGCAGCCGTGTCTGTGCCCGCAGGTGCTGGTGGAGCAGGCGCTGCCGTGCTGCCTGCAGCGGCTGAGAGGACCGCGCCCTTCCAAGAAGCTGTACAAGCGCCTGGACTCCGTCCTGCGGCTGGAGGGCCACTGGCCCCCCCTGGACCAGCCCCTGCCCTCCCCCGGCTCCACCGCCATCGACGTCCGCTAGAGCCCCAGCACAGTAACTGACAGTGAGGCTGGGGACCCCCACTGAAGAACCTCCTGGGAGAGA